TATATTTTTTTTTTTTTAAATATTTGTTATTTATAATAGATTTATAATAGATTTTTTGTGGATTTTTTTCAAGAAAATAGCATTTTTTAAAAATCATAAATTTTATACATTATAATTTAATAAATAATTGAAAGAAAAGCATTATACAGTTTTTAATAATTTCATGTAAGTACATTTTAAGGCAAAAATTTCAGTTTTTGTTTGTTTACGCTACAATTTATAGAATAAAAACTGTATTAGTTTGAAATTTTTTAATTTTGAAAAAATCGAAATTTTTAAAAATTTCTGTATAAAAAAACTTGATCTTGAAAACTTTTATTATTTTGAATGTTTTATTAACAATTGCGCTTCGTGGCAGTAATTTCGGCTCCAAGCACATCGGCATTCATCTTAGGTTTTTTAAGTGGACTTTTTTTAGTGGATTCAACCCGGTAGGTTTTATGGATTAGGTCTACTTTGTCAAACTTTAGTGTCATTGCTATAATATCTTATCAAGCATGTATGGAAAATTCTCGAAGATTGATAGATTATTTCTCGTTATTATCAATTTCTGTGTAATTTATTGCAAAGTATTCTATTCGCTCTCCGAAAATCCAATCGTTTTCAAAGAACCATCTTCTCAATATAATAGCTAAGTAGTCAGTTATCAGAGTTGTTTGCGATTCTTTTTTTTCCCTTTAAAGAATTTTAAGTAAAATATCGATGATATTTCGCGGAAGAGTGACACGTTCTCATCTGGCGCCTAATTCTGATTTTGCTTTTGATTAAAAAATAGTAAAACGAGCTAATAGATACTTGCAAATCTCATGAGGTAAGAGTTTTCGAGGATTTACTGAAAGCGCAACGAAGTTGTGCCGTTGCTTGAGCACAATACATAGTATATGAAAAAATCATCAAAATTTTGAAAAAAATTAATTATTTAAAGTTACTTATTAAATTATTGCATGAATTGAATTAAAAAAAATTTTTTTAACATATTGTAATTCCAATAAAATCAGATCTGAAGAGATTAAAATAATCTACCAAAATTTGTTATATCATTCTTAGTGAGAAATGATAATGAAATCGACGTCGAATTTGATCATCTCGACATTGAATTTGATGATTTTGACGTTGAATGACATCGATTTGATTATCATTTCTGACTGAGTTGTCAATTATTTTAGAAATATAAGAATTATAAGAAAATGTGATTTCTCGGCATTTCTCTGTTTTCATTAATAGACATTTATATGTATATTATTACAGACTTCTGGTCTCAATAAAGCATTGCCACCGAATGTGCACATTCTTACCTTAGAACCTTGGAAAGATGATACAATTTTATTAAGATTGGAGCATCTCTTTGAAGTTGGTGAGGCTCAGCGAATGTCTCAACCAGTAGAAGTTAACATTCAGGTAAATTTTTATTCTTCTAAAAATAAGTCTTTGATTATATATTTTTGCAATTACTAACAACATGTTACAAAAATTTGATTGTGATAATTAATCAGAATTATTATAAAGTAAGTAAAGAAACTGTCTTTACAATAAAATAAAAATTTTTTTATAATTCTTTTATCTTATCTCAACAGAATCTGTTCTCGACATTTTCAATTGAATCGATCAAAGAAACCACATTAGGGGCCAATCAGTTATTGAGCGAAAATAAACCTATGAAATGGGAACCAGAAATGAATGATATTATCCAGAATGAAGAAGAAAGTAGACAAATTGTGGGAGTTCATGACAATGTAATCAATGTTCTCTTGAAACCGATGGAAATACGGACGTTTATTCTCACAGTAAAACGAAGATCTCTTTAAATTGTGTGTGTGTGTGTGTGTGTGTGTGTGTGTGTGTGGGCGCGTGCGCGCGTGTGTATGTGTGTGTGTGTGTGTGTGTGTGTGTGTGTGTTTTTAAAGACATTTAATTTTCACAAGAATAATTAGTTTTATAAAAATAAAGTTGCTTTATTATTTGTCTTATTGTATATGTAATTACTATACTAAATAAAATATAATTGCAAAGCTATAATATAAAAATTTATTATTGCTTATTCTTTTATTATAAGAAAACTAATTAAACTAAAGTTACTGAAATGTATGCTAAAAAATTTAAAAACATTTAAGTCAGCGCGAAAATATTAATATGGGTGCGCATAAATATTAATTCATATAAAATAATTCATAATAATAAATGATGTGCAGCTTTATTACGAATTCTTGAACGTTTCCACTCTCTTTTGAAGTCATCTTCAGCAAGTTATACGTATTCATATTAAGTTAAACGATCTGTCGATGATGAATCACTAGGTTCCCGAAACTGTAGCGGAATCTGATATGTAAAATTAGAAACTGTAACAATATATAATAAAGGAACAATTATCCAGAAATGTGTAACTCATCTCAAATGGACGCCAATCATGAAGCTTTAACAAATATAAATTCACTAAATAATAAATTAATCATGCTGCGAGCACCTAATTAATTTGTAATTAGGAGTCTCGAATGATTCTAACCATTTCAATTTTACAGAGGTAAATGTGATAAAAACAATATTCTTATGTCATAAATATACAAAAGAGAATATAAGCATTGTATATAAAAGAAATAAATTTTCTAAGAGAACATTGTACAATATATATAAAATATAAGGACAAAATATAAAGCTAATTGATTAATTTCGATAACATCGTAGCATAGGCATGATGTATCTGTTCATTTGTATTTGAGAGCAGATTCATTCTTTTGCATTCGCTTTCTCAGAAATTAACCGTTTTTAAAATTCTTGTGATCCAAGAATTTGGACAATCTCCCAATCAAATTCATGATTAAACTCGGTTCTGTGGTCTGTAATTACTGATAATGTTCCAATTTATATAATTGCTATGTTCTGCAATCCTAAAGCTTAATTTTCTACTCGTTTGACCGACATAAGAAGCGTTACAGTCTTTACATTCGATTTTATACATTACATTTTTATTACAATTTTTTAGAAAAATATCCTTCTGAACCTTGATGAACCTATTGAGCTTACTGTTGCTAAAAAAGGATAGTTTGAGATTTTAATTTTTATAAATAGATGAAAATTTACTACAGTTTTGATGAAAATTTACTACTGGGAACCTGATAGTGACTTATCATGGACAGATTGTTTAATATTGAGCGTGAATACATATAATTTGCTGAGGATGACTCCAAAGAGAGTGGAAACGTTCAAGAATTCGTAATAAAGCTGTTTATTATTATAAATTATTTTATATGAATTTATTAATATTTATGCGCACCCAAACATTTTCGCGCTGGCTTTCACTAGCCTTAATTTTACTGATATTTATCGTTTTAAAGTTTGAGAGTCCAATTAAAATGATTTATTGTTTTTTTAATAAGGTGTTTAATCAATTTAATGCAATTTATAAGCCTCTTTAATTAAATGGTTTAATCTTCATAACAAATTGTAAAATTCAATGTAATTTAAGCATCAACAGATGAAATGTTTCGTTTTTCAATTCAACGAGGTTTGCATTTATGCGAGATCACTATGAAACGTGTGTGATGTAATAATTATTACATAGTATAAAGGTAAATTATATTTTTATATTATATTATAATCTTCCATAAATATGCATTATTTCGAAATTAAAGTAGATAAATCAAAAAGATATTTGTAAATAATTTTCTTCTTTTAATTCTCCTAAGCAAATTTATACATTTTCGAAAAATTGAGACATAAGTATAAAGCTGTTTATAAAATAATACGTTATATAATTATAAAAAAAATAAGTTTTATGTTGAGCGCATAAAAATCAACAAAGACAGAAAAACAAAAGACTTATTTAATTAAAATTTAATAAATAATAAATTTGATCATTTGTGGATACACTGTGCGACTTTCTTTATTATATAATGAAATCGCATAAACTATATTCGATTATTCCTTACATATGTATTATTCCTTATATATGTATATGTGTGTAAATCAATTACAATTTATTATATGAAATTCATAAAACAAATGCTGTTATGACTTAATTATAAAAGTATATGAAAAGGAAGATATAGAAATCGTAATGATTTGAAAAGATGATATAACTTAACAATCAACAATATTATAGCACGTATTTACGTGATGCGCTATGAATTGTATACTTAATTTAAAATAGCGAATTATAATCTTCATGTATCTTCTTTTACAATTGACACGCGCAACAAATATTATTGCTAAATATTTGCTTCACACAGATTTTAATGTAATTCGTTATCGATACATTTCGTTATTATTGACAGCACGATAAACTTTGCGTCGAAAACTCGAACAATGATCGTCCTTTTCAAATGTAGGAACAACATTTAGTATCTATTTTCCTACGATGCGAAAGTAATTTCTAACGTATGATTGTATGTAACACTTCTCATGATCTACAAACATAATATATTTCTTCTCCGCTTATTCACGAGCGCAATGTCTTTCTCTAGATGCAAAAAAATTCAATCTTGATATTGCCACTTCTTTCACGGATGCATCTTATAAATAAAAAGATGAGTTCATATTATAACTACATTTGTATACATTTGAGCGCTCGTAAACGACGGGAAGAATATATACATAATACAGATTTCTTGTTATATGCGATCAATGGAGTTCAAGTTGTTACGTAAAGAGCGAGATCTCGTATTCAATATATTTTGCATTTGTTTGAAATAATTTATAGTCTCAAAGAATTAAAATCATTTAAATCGCGCTTAAACTATTGTGCCAATATTTATCATAGCTATAAAACTGCTTCACAAAAAAGGATTTAGTACGTATAACAAGAAATATATACATATACACACATACATATATATATATATATATATATATATATATATATATAAAATGTATCATATAAATTCATATGATGTATCAAGCGTAATGTATTTGTAATATCGAGTAATCTAAACTATTTAATAGCTTGAAAACAATGTCAAGGTTCCTCAATCTAGTATTAAATACATCGACAGTATATTCGTCGAGTGTTGAATGAGAGCAACATACGTGTACTTTGGCACGAAATCAAAAAATGCACTACAGAGTATTCTTACATTTCAATATATTACATTGTTTGAATACCACGTTTATAGCCCTCCTCTCCCGGATAAGTTAATGATAGCGATCGTGACACTCCTCAAATGTATGACAAAGTATAATATCAAATATAAATACTTAAACATTCAAAATAATACAAACGCTTGAAAATTACGAATAGTGTATAAAATCTAAGTTTTAACTCCCACAGTCTTATATATGTTACAATAAAAAAGAGCAGTGAAAAAATAACTCTTTATCTAAAAAAATTAATCAGATTTTGATGAAAGATATATCGTGATATTCTAGCAACGTGTATCAGTAACTGGAGCATATTCTAAATGTATTGAACATTCTATGAGCAGGTCAAAGCATTTAATTGATCAATCAGAAAAAAGAATTTTACTAATTGACCAATCACAAAGAACGCTTCGAAGCATTTATAATATCACATTGACCGTATCTTATATTGAATATTCTGTACATCATTTCAATTCTCCTGTTTCACGTTTTGATATAATAATTGATCTAACGATTATCTTTTTATGCATCTAACAATTAGAAGTTGTACAAACGTTGGTCTATAATTGTGTATAAAGTATGACATTTTAATAGAGAGGTAATTTTGCAGCAATTTTATGCACTCTCTTCTTGACACATTGTACTATTAGTTTTTTTTTGTACAGACATAAATATTCTCATAGAGCACAGAAGTTTGCAGTAATATTTTTACAACATTGCATATTAAAGTGCAATCGTGAAATTTTTTTGCAATATTACTTCAGCAATGTTGCAATAACTTTTTAAAGATATTGTAAAAAAATAATAATATAAGATATTGTAAAAAAATAATACGCTAAGCCGCGACTAATATGCGCCACTGCCATAAAATGGACGTGACGGAATTCTATTCTCTCATAAATAAAAACTTATTTAAGATAGAATAAAAGGCAAAAAATTAGGAGATTTTTTTACTTATATTTTAACAATTCTTTGAAAAGATGAGTACTCAAAATTGAATTTTAAGACGAAAGTAAATGAGATATATTTTGACATTTTTGGTTCTTCAGTATAAAAATTAATTTAAAAACTTATATTCTTAAAAGTTATGTGTTAAAATATTTTGATATAATGCATTTAAAATATTATCAAAATTATAATGTAACATATTGTATTGCTGCAACAATGTATTGCATATTTTAAATTGACATTTTACATTGTTGCATCATTATATAACAGTAACATTTCACAAAATTTTTGCAATGTTACAATCTTGCAATAAAATACTTCTACAACCTTTTTGTGCTGTGTGGACTTTTTCATTTTATTTTATTTCCTAATTCACTAGAGACGTTCATTTTCCTCAATTTCCGTATCGGTTCCATCTTTCATCGTATTGTTTATCTGTTTTTCCTCTTCAGAAACAGTAGGCACTTTAGTATGAGTCGAATCGTTCCATGGCTGAATTTCCGCAGATCCAAATAGCCAAAAGAGAAATGTTGCTGATGTAAATACTATCGCCGATATCCAAAACATTATACGCCATTCTTCCACGCCGTTCTACAATACAAAATATAATATTATTCTTGAGGGCAAATGCATAATTTTTGTATAGAAAGTACCCATGCTTCCATGGGTACTTTCTATACAAAAATTATGCATTTCGCGTTATCTTCGTGTTGAAATTTATTTTTAGAATGCCTACGTTTCATGAAGATTGCAATTCACTTCATCACGACGAGGAACTAAGACTATGTTCCAAAATTGACTACCCAGTACTGAAAATTTATAGTGCACTGT